AATCGATGATGATGCTCGGATTGGGTGTGTGGTGCGAGCAGTGACACCTCCCCCCTCCCCCTCTTACCAGGTGGAGAGCAGCACGGCAGCATGCAGAGACAAAGAGCCTCTGTCCTGCAGCGTGGGGACACAGGTGGGCAGCACTCCTTCTTTCCAAGACCCCTCAAAGTGCAAGCACGGTGAGAGGCAAACCCAACTGTGACTTTCATAGTCTCTGCCTCAGGAGGTCAAGCACAGGTTGGTTTCTGAGGAAGGCTGAGATCTGGAGAGCGTTGGATCCGCAGGGCCTCTGTGAGACAGACAATTAGGTCCAGGCGATCTCCAGAGCACCTGGAAGGCCAACTCCTGCAGGAGCTGCTCCAATTCTCCAGGCAGGTCAAGCTCTTAAAGCCACACATGCCCCCCTCTCATGCAGAAAGCAGCTGGGATGGGTTTTCCCTTCCCTTTGGGGAAGGACTTACTTAGAAGGACTCACTCAAATACCTCTCTGCACTATACCTTGCTTGGTTCCTCAGTCAGGACCTGCTAATTCGCAGGGTCCAGTGCAACGTGAGAATCGGGTCCCTCCGTCTAAAACATCTTAAGAATTCCAGGAAGGTTTCAACAGGACATTAAAGCCAGCTTGGGACGCTTCTAAGCTCTGGTCCCTCCCTGCACACGGGCCTTGCACCAAGGAAGAGGCCCTGACCCTGCTGTTGCTGGGATCGCCTCCCACAGAACATTTCTTCTGTCCTCAGACTTCCTCATTCTGCAAAGTACTCTGCTGTTCTCAGACTTCCTTCTGGGATTCAAGTCTGCCCAATGTAAACCAACAAGAACCTTAATGGAAAAATCTTGAGCCAACTGTGTGATCGGACTCCACAGCCCCAAGGAGGCGGCAGCGCCGTTCCCGCTGACATTTGCAGACAAGGCGGTCACCTTGTCTAGAGGCAGATCTGAGGTCCAGGGCCAGCGACGTGAGACCAGAGAGACCGGAGACAGGAAGAGGGAGCTGAGGCGCTGGGGAGCCGCTCACCGCCAGGCAGCCTGCAGCCTGTCCTGTTCCCAAGAGCTGGGCCATCACCTGCGAGCCCTTCCCTCCGGTGTGCCATGCTGGAGACGTGGCAGCCTGCAAATCACTGTCAACTTTCTTCTCTCGTGAATCTAACAGCATAATTCAGTATAACTCTAGCCGCGTGGGGGTGATTCATGTCTGTAACTCTAGCTACTCAGGAAGCTGATATCTGCGGACTGCAGTTAAAAGCCAGCCCAGGCAGCAAAGTCCATGAGACTCTTATCTCTAATTAACCACAAAAAAGCTGGAAGTGGATCTGTGGTTCAAGTGGTAAAAAAGCCAGATAAGAGTATAAGCCGCTGAGTTCAAGCCCCAGTACTGGTACGCATGTGCACACACACACACACACACATACACACACCAATAACTACATAATGAACTTATGAAATAGAAATAATTATGAATTGGAAACTACATGTAGGTAATAGAGTATACATCTGAAGAAATTATAATACATCCATGTAATAAAGCCTTTAAAAATCACATCCTGTATGATAACTCATTGGCATGGTAAAATATAGCTAATGTGTTATTTTGTAAAAGGCGGCAAAATGAATTTTTGTTTTGCATGACCCTAATTTGTCACAATAAAGTATAACTTCACCTCTGTTACAAATTTAATGCATATTTTTTAAAAATTACAACGAACATTAAGGTCAGTGGGTGAGATGATCACGTTGCTTTATGCTGTCCTGTGCTTTCAAAAGTCTCTCAAGTGCACATCTAGTACTTGTATAATGAGAAAAACAAACATTTTGGATTTTCTTCCACGTTTATATGTTACTCAAATATCATGACCTCAAGTGAATAGGCAGTTACTATGCTTATAATAACTCTGGTCCTTATTAAAGATAACCATGAAGTAACCAAGAAATCTTGTTGATAAAACACAAGACTTAGGTATCAATATATACATGAGCAGGGGCCTTGATTTTAGATATTTTTCGTGTGTGTGTGTGTGTGTGTGTGTGTGTGTGTGTGTGTGTATACTGAGGACCTCCTGCTGTACCTCAGTTTTTTCCCACCCATGGCTGGTGCTCTACTGCTTGAGCCATTCTGGCTTTTTGCTAGTTAACTAGCAATAAGAGTCTCACAAACTTTTCTACCCAGGATACCTTTGGACTGAGATCTTCTGAGTAACTAGGTTTGCACACATAAGCCACTGGTGCCCAGCACATTTTATAATATCTAAGTTCATTTTAAATTCTGGTATAAGAAGTCTATGATTGCTCAAAATGGTGCAGATTCATAGACACAGCTCTGTATTGCTTAACCACTTGTAGACATTGGATGTTTCAAAAATTTGCTCATCTCAACTCAAAAGCTATAAAAATTAAGAGAATCAAGTTAGTTTCGCCACCTCATCAATGAATGTTCATTCAATCCATAAGCTCTCTTGACATCCATAACTGAAGCAAACGTATAAATTAAGTGCTTATAGTGACTTAGGAGATACCTGGAAGGATTAGCTCTTAATACTGGCTAAATTTGGGGGAATTACGTTTGATACAGGAGAAATCACAGACCTTTCTGATGATTAGAATTTCAAATTCAAAGTAATTATCATACTGCTGGGACTGTGTAAAACCTTGTGCTCATAATTATGCACAATCTTATGCATTCTACTAAAGCAATTTTTAAAAAGTGGGTTTAGAAAATAGTACAATGGAAATCCTACCATAAAAGTTTATAAATGATCAAACTAACCAGTCATCTCCTGGTACTTTTTTACAAAGGCCCCTGGCTCTGTAAGAATGGGTCACTCAGCAGAATGGGAGATGAGGGCTACCTGGGAAGGTCAAAGGTAAAATCAGGGCACAGTTTCTTTGGGCTGCCTTTGAGCACAGATTACGATTACGGAAATCAAGATAGTGAAAACGTAAGACGGGCCAGTCATGAAGCTGAAAGGGTTCAACACAGCCAGCAAGCCGATCAGACAGACAAAAGCAGACACCGAAGTAAACACAGAAAGAAGGTAAAGGCTGAGGAAGCCAGTCAGCAGCAAGAAGGGAAAGGAAAGAGCAGACATGTGGACAGTGCCAACAAGCGGGTCAGGTAGGTAACGTCCCAGACAGCCAGAGTGCAAGAGTGGCTTCCGCCCTGTGGCCTTGCTTCTGGTCTGCTCTCCAGGCTGGGTTCCCAGTCAATGAACCTTGAGAACCAAATCCAAGAACCTGGACTCAAGACAGCTTGGGTCCTTGCTCCTTGTCATATGCAATGCCCGATCAAAGCGGCGATGAATTCCCTTGACTGGCTCTAGGTGGGCTGGGCATGTGCCTGTCCCCTGCCACACGATAGCCGGCCCAGGGTTCTAGAGCAAGGGGCCAAGGCATGACTGCCGCACAGCCAGTATTCTAACACAGATGACAGCAGTGGCCACAGAAGGGTGGTGATTAAGACAACCGTGTATGTGCTGGAGAGAGAGGCAGGGGGCGTGGCATGATGATGGGAGTCTGCCTCCTGGCGTGGAGGCGCTAACCCACCTGCCCTCCCCAGAGGAATTCGGGCTCTAGCTTAGCCTCCAGTCCCCGATAAGGCTGAGGGATGCTTCACTGAGAGATGTCAGGTTGTGCTGGTAAGTGTTAAGGCATTAAGTGAACGCCACCTGCATCAAAGGCCCAGAGAACGCGCTAAAACGGAAACTGAGCAGAGAAGACCAGAGAATAAATCCAGATCCCGGAACAAACAAGCAAACAGACAAACAAGAAAGCCCAGGTGCTTGGTCTTCGCAAAGCCAGAAGGCAATGCCCGTACACACTCTTCCTTTGTGTCGAGTGTAACATTATGTGTGTTCAGCATGGACCAATGACCTCATATGTAGGTGAGTCCCTTATGGAATATATTAGCTCTAATTGAGATTTCCTTAGAAGTAGTCCAAGGATGGCCTAGAAACAGCTTGTTAACTCTTTAAAAATATGCACAATAGATGGAAATTTCTTTCTATCTATCCCATCACCGGTAAAATCAAAAGCAACACACTAGATAGGGAAACATTTTTTGCAATATGATTTCACAATCATTTCCAAGAAATGACGAGCAACGAGGTAAGTTATTTCTTATATCACTGTTCTGTATATGAATTGGACATTTAAAGTAATGAAGTTGTGTTCTTTTTTTTTTGCTGGTTGTGGGGGCTGAACGCTGGACCTGAGCACTGTCCCACAGTCCTACTTCTAGCTTTTTCTGCTTATGTGGTACTGAGGAATCGAACCCAGGGCCTCATTTATGCAAGGCAGGTGCTCTACCACTGAGCCACCTTCCCAGCCCCGTTGTGTTCATTTTAATCCAGCTCCTTAAACTTTTACACACACACACACACACACACACACACACACACACACACACACAGAGTCATCCCTAAGTAGAGGATTTGTTCTAGGACTTTTCAAAGACACCAAAATCCACTGATGCTCACCTGTCTTATATCTAATTGTGCAACATTTGGATGCAAGCTATGTATATTTTTTTTAAGAAGACAATCAACATGCTTTCTTTTCAACCAATATGGTCTTTGAACAAACATGAGTTTCATCTTCTTCCTGGGTCACTGTGGCACTCTGAGTAAGTGTTGTATTCCACAATCAGTATGTCCCTGAAGCAGACATTCAGACAAGATTCTGCCCACCTTTCCTTCCTGTCATTTGTATTGAGAGGGATGAGACAGACAGAAATAGACAGAGGTGTTCAAGGCCCCAAAGGCTTATTTCTTGTTTGTAATTGCTGTTTGTTTAGAGGGTCCAGACTGGCTTTGAACTATGATCTTCCCCGAGGGCTGGGATTACAGGCACATACTACCATGCCCAGCTTGCTGGTTTTACATTTCATTTTAGATGCTGCATCAATATGTGCAGGCAAGCCTTCTGCATGACTGTGACTTTGAGCTAAAGAATTTATTAAAAAAAATAAAAAGACTTCTTTACCCCCAGCACAAAGATAACGATAGTACCTTCCCAACAGGAGCTGTGGTAAGGGCGAAAGATGATGTGCCCACAACACATGGTGCTGGGCACCTGGCTCCTGATGGGTTCCATAAATGGTGCCGTCCGTGGCTGCCAAGTGTGGCGAGGCGGCCCAGCACGGTGAGGGCACACGGGTGTACAACACACACAGTCCGTGGCTCATCGGTGCAGAACGCTTTGGAAGGTGTGCGGCAGACATGGGCTGTGGCCAGCAGTGCCCTGGGAAGTGTCTGGGTTTTACCAGCAGTGGTTTCTAGGCTAGGAGGTCACATGTGTGATGAATAGAAAGTCGTGTGATGAAGACAGGAGGGGAGACAGAGGCAGAGGACTGCTTCAAAATCGCCTTCAGAAAGCCCTTCCTTTATAGCAGGAACTTGGCTCCTCACCACACCAGCCAAGTGAATATCCCATCTCACAGATGACAGGAACGTGGAGCTGCCCCGTGCTGCCAGCCTGCCCCCTACTGCGTCCCACACAAGGAGGGGAGGGACACCAGGCAGGAGGAGGTAAGCCAGCCCCACGAGGGCTGTGACTCTGGGAAGGGGCAAGCTCCCAGAGGAAGGCTTTGCATCGCACATGCTGGAGGAGGCCTGCTCACAGTCACTGCTCCTCCATTGATCCAGAAGTTTCTAATGTCAGTGATAAGCTCCAGTCTCCATGGTTGGGTATTTTTTTCTCCCACGGGGACGGTTGTGACCCTTGTACCTGGGACCACAGAAGATTGGGTCTAATCAGCCAGCAGAGCTCCTTTCCTATGTCCTTGAAGGTAGGTGCTGCCCTCAACCCAGCTAGTCTCTACAGGATGCCTCCAGACTTCACGAGAGCACTGAAGAAGATGGTAGAAACCTCCAGGGTCTCTTGGGAGGAAGGGGGAATGGTCTGGAACACAGTTCTTATTTCTACTACAAGTCTTCTTTAATACTCATTGCCTTAGTTACAGAAAGGAGAACAAAAACCGAAATTAAAATCTACTCTATATGCTAAGCAAACAAATATTTAATTTGGCTCAAAAAACATTAAAATGTCAGCCGCCACCATAGCCATCCTGATCCTTTAAATGAATTTCTTTTTAAAGTTTTTATGCTAGTGTTGGGCGTGAGCTCAGGGCCTACGTGCTGTCCCTTAGCTGTTTTGCTCTACCACTTGAGCCATAGCTTCACTTCTGGCTTGAGCTGGTTAATCAGAGATAACATTCTCAAGGACTTTCCTGTCTGACCTGGCTTTGAATCTTGACCCTCAGATCTCAGCCACCTGAGTAGCTAGGATTGCAGACATGAGCAATTAGGCACCGGGTTCATTTTCTTATGTGATCCTTACTATATTCTAGGACACACATATTATCTCTGGAGGCTAGAAAAGGGTTTTGCAAGTTAGATCACAAATAAAGGGCTCATGCACCAAATACATAAACAGTTCTTGATGTTAAGAAAAAGTACAATCAACAAACACAAAGTGGGCAGGCAGAAAAATAACAGCGTTAACAAAAAAGGAAATATAAATAGCTGACACACATGAAAAAATGTTCAACATCACTTAAAAGAAAAATGCAAATTACAAATAACTGAGATGCCATTTTCTGTGACAGAATGGCAAAAATCCAAGTGTGGTAACACATGCTGTTTTGTAAGAATGGGAAACCAGACATTCCTCACACATTTGTGAGCCGAGAGCCTGGAAAAATTCACAGGGAAGGCCACGGGGAAAATCCATTTAAAAAATCCCTAATGCAAACACGCAACATCCCACAATTTCACTCAGGATTGATTCCATGTTTCATAACACTATCCAAATGACCTATCATACACAGAGTCCCTTCTCTTCTTTGTTTTGTGTTGGTACTGGGGCTCAACCTCAGTGCTTCACATTCTTGCTTAGCTTTTTCACTCGAGGTTTTAGTTTTACTATTTGAACCACATCTCCAGTTTCAGCTTTGCTAGTTAATTAGAAATAAGACTCTCTCTGATTTGCCTGTCTGGGCTGGCTTCATCCGCTTCTTGAGTAGATTGGATTTACAGGCATGATTTCCTGGTGCCAGGAAGAGGTTACTGCTTGCAGCGCGACTGATAGTGTAAAACCTCACAAACATCTGTTAACAGGGGAGAATTTAAGTAAATGAAGACAATGTCATATAACAGAAAAACACACAGCCATAATAAAGCAAAGTGGTAGCATTCTATGTTTTGATACAAGAAGATGTAATGTTCATTACAAATAAAACAACCATGATGCAGAAAAAAAAAATCTTTGTCGATAAAGGGTTGGGGTGGACTAGACCCACACTGCTTATCTACTGTCATGTGCAGAAATCACCTGGGTGATGAAACACGTGTACAGACGTGAACTAGAGTTGGGGATAAGTAAGTGGCTGGCTGAAAGAATTCAGGCGTTTTCCTCCTTAATCGATAGACATTCCACAACCTCATCTGATTTTGGAAGATTAGTAGGACTGGACCTAGTGATGGTTAGGTGAAAGGAATTTCGCACCATATACCTTGTAATGTCTTTGGATGTTTGAACCAATTGACTGTATTACCACTCAGACTTTACAAATTGTGAGCCTGAAAGTTTGGCTACACTAGGCAAGCACGTGACCATGGAGCTACACTCTAGATCTTTAAAACCTTACAAAGTTATGACTCTAGCTGGGCGCTGGTGGCTCACGCCTGTAATCCTAGCTACTCAGGAGGCTGAGATCCTGGATCCCAGTTCAAAGCCAGAACAAAAGTCCGTGAGACCTCCTATCTCCAATAAACCACACAGAAAACTGGAAGTGGCACTGTGGCTCATGTGGTAGAGCTCTAGCCTTGAGCTGAAGAGCTGAGGGACAGGGCTCAAACCCAGAGTTCAAGCCCCACGGCTGACAAAAAAAAAAGTGACTGTCAAAGTGACTCTTTGTTGAAAATAATCAAATCCACCTCAAAAGTTGGGGCAGAGCTGTCAAGAACTGCTAAGGGTCATAATTTACATTTGAGCTATGGACCTTGGAGGTGGAAACATTCTCACCACACCATTTCCTAAAATGGTGTTAATTAGCAGCACACAAACGCAAAAGCAACTTCTTTATGATCCAAGTTTCTATACAATGATCGAACCAAAACATAGTCAACAAGTGATATACAGCAAAACTAGAAAGCCAGTGGGAGTCTGACACAACCACATTAGTTTCTTGTGGAAGATGAAGTTGTGTTGCTGAGATTAAATGATCACCTGGATTAGGAATATTGTCTGATGTAATTCATCCTCTAGTCCTCGTTTCCTGGGCTTCAGTACACTGCCTTTCATTATGCGGAGCATTTACCCTGCTAGTGCATTCTCTACTCAATTCAGGAAATCCTGTGCCCCGTGCTGTAAAGTCATCTGCCATTCTTTGGGCCCTATATATCTTTTGCGTTTCCAAGCTGCCCGTGCCATTTTCCAATGCTCATTACAACCTCAATGGACCAGCCACCACCATGAATCTATCTGTAGTGCCAAATCAAACACTCAAATTGGGTATCCAAAGGCAGTCAGCAGTCAGAAGGAAGCCATTGTGATAACCTAGAATAAACTCTGTGTTGCTATTTTGTTAGTAGTAGTAACATCCTAGGAAGTGGCACTGTGGCTCCAGTAATAGAGCACTAGCCTTGAGCACAAAGAGGCTCAGGGACAGCACTCAGGCCCTGAGTTCAAGCCTCTGGATGGCAAAAAAAATAATAATCAGTACTATTGACATCTTAATAAAACTGAAAATAGAAGGAACTTAGACTTGAAGCTGTGTACAGACCCTAGCTGTTACAGGTATACTCACAGGCTCTCCTATTTGCTGCTTCTGTGAAAGACTCCATGTCTTTAGCCTGTTGTTTAAGCCTCTGGGGGTCTGGCCCTTTGTCTCCTGAGTTTACTTTCATCTCTAATTCTCTGTATCACTGCCCACAGTTGGGGGCAGCCCAGGCCCCTTTCCTTTGCCTGCTCCAGGACATAATCTCAAACCAACTACAATGAAAATGTGGACCATCCTCATGACATAATCCCAAGTCAGCACAAATAACATCAGGCACGGGGCTCATATACCTCAGTGCGCATTTCAAAGCCTCTTTTCACTAAATCTCAACAAAACCCAAGAAACTGGGTTCTTATTAAACATCTGTTCAGTCTTACCAAATTAAGTCTCTGCAGCATACATGTTTTGCATCCTCGGTGTCTTTCTGTGATTACCACCCAACATCTGTTTGATGGGTGAGAAAGTGAGTGAATGATGGGATGAATAAATGACGATGAATTATTAAAATTTAGAGCCTGTTAAAGTGATGCATGCTGGTAGACTTTGAACACTTGGTCTTTTTGCAGCATTTCTACCATCTCTCTTTAATTATGCTGAGCCAGGATTACCCTTTACTAATTAAAATCTTTCTCCACAGAAGATGTTCTTTAAAACCCTAGTTTAGGAGGAAACTAAGTGCTGAGTTTCCATGCATATTTATCTTGAAGCATTTGCAGGTGCAGTGTAGGGGGATATTCTGGTACCTGGCCAATTGCCAAGGCTAAAGTTAAAACAGGTTTCTGAAAGTGAACGAGGATGCAAGGTGGCGAACGCTGTTCCTCCAGTGCAAGGAATACAAGTGCAAAGGTCACTGGTGTGTACTTCCCACACGCCCGTCTGATACCATGTTCATCATCAGTCAGGAAGGTAGACCACAATCCAACACAAAGGGGAAAGGAGCAAGTTCTCTCTCAAGTTCAGACAATTTCCAATGGGAGAGACAACAGTCCTCACAAAGCTGTCAGCTCATCTCTGATAGCCTTCAGAAAAAGCAGAAGAAGTCTACTTTCTGGAATGAAAATAAAACACAAAGAATGTAAACACATTTTCCCCCCACAGTATTCTGGGGCCCGTGGGAGCTCCTTGGGACTCTGTTTTACTTCCCTTTCTAGCCTTAATTCTTCTGGATTTCTGTCTGCTATGCAGTCTTCGTTTGCCACAAGTACATAATAAATGCTATTAGTTGGTTATCCTCTCTCTCTCTCTAAGATTTCACATAACAGAATAAAGCCATTTCCCTGAATTTCAGAATGCAAGTAATGTGGGAAAGACATATACTAGTGAATCTGGTCTTTCAGAAATCTGAAGCATGGTTTGCATAAATGTCCATAGTTCAAGGAGCTTTAACAAATGCTAAAAGATTGTGATGATATGCAAATGAGACGGCATTCAACCATAACTACATTCCCCAAATTCCATCACAACAGCCAGGAGACCCCTGAAGGTACGGGGAAACTGCAGTCCAGTACCACAGGCCACACCCTCCTTCCTCTTGGTTTTAAAAATGTAATAAAAACAATAAAATAATGGGATTGTCACCCTTGGTAGAAATCTCTTTGAACAACAGTTCACTTGGATCTGAACAGGCACTCTGTTTCGAAGGGCTATCACAACCAATGTCCCCAGATATTTTGTGTGGGGGGGGGCCCAAATGTCAACATATCCAGTACTATGTTTTCTCCACACAGAAGCCCAGTAAAACCGTGCAGAAAAACGTTCTCGATCCACATGTCAGATTTCCATTCCTTTGTATGACTGCTGCCCTATCTGTGGGCTATGGTTTTAGAGATTTCAGACCAGGTCACTCAGCCCTTGTTGGCTTTGGCCCTGTGGTAAGGCTGCGCATCCTGGAGGGGCCACGGTATGGCTGCACATCATGGTGGGAATAATGGAGAGGGAATCACCTCACCTCATAGAGACTAGGAAGCAAAAGGCGAGAGAGAAAGCAGCCAGGATCCTTTTATCATTTTCATGGGCAATCTCCCATTGGCCCAACTTCCTTCCACTTGACCTATGTTTTAAAGATTTCACCACTTTCCAGACTTCCCAGCACCACAGACATTTAAGACCAAGCTATTACAACCCTTGTTGTCTCCTGCCTTCAATCTTTGATCCCCACTCTGATAAAGCACTGGAAAGTTTTTTTCCCTGACTCCAGCCTTTTACATACTTAAGCCTTCCTAGAAGCATCATGAGTAGCTTTTCCTATTCACCTCTCCCAACAACTAAGGCCTCTCCCATAACCTCTGGTCTTTTATTGGTAAATAGGAGACTAGGGGGACCTAGTCAGTAAAAGTCCTCTATTTCTAGTTGTTAGAATCAGAGCAAATCAGATGCTACCTAAAACTTCCAAAGACACCCTGACAAACAGAATCTAATAGCCCAGTACCAGTGGCTCATGCCTGTAATTTGAACTCAGGAGGCTGAGATATTAAGATTGAAGTTTGAAGCCAACCTGTGCAGGAAAGTCCTTGAGACTCTTTTCTCTAATCAGCCACTAAAAAAGCCAGAAGTGGAGCTGTGGCTCAAGTGGCAGAGTACTAGCCTTGAGCAGAAAAGCTCAGAAACAGATCAAGCTCCAAGGCCGGCATCTAAAACAAAACAAAACTAAGAATCTAATAGCAATGTCCACCTGTAAAATCAAGAGGACACGTACCTGTGTGCACACCAATGCCACCATACGGCATGTATGACACCCAAACGTGCAATAATAAAGCACCACTGATGCACAGAAACCCCACAGGTAATGGATGCGAGTAATCAATACTCTCCACCCCAAATGGGACGCAAACAGACCTTCTTCCAATGGGAACAATCGGAGACCACCCCAAACATGCTTGGAGCTGCTGTTCTAAGCAATTCAACAGTTTTTGCTCGCTTATTATCAATGAACTTGCATTTAATAACACTCACCATTTATCCAAAGATGACTAGCTACTGTCGCACTCACATGACAGGCCATTTAACCTGGCCTGACTCTCCAGTTCCAGTTCCTGAACCTTCCAGTTCCCTGTATGGGGGCAGTAAGCAGGCCTCACAAGCGTGAAGACACCAGCACACACATGGCCACCTCACACAGTGGCTGCGTAGCCTCGGGCTCTGCTCCCCCTCTGCCACAGAGCGATCACGTGAGCACTGTTTATTGGGGCGGTGTGTGGGTCAAATGAGAGGGTATGTGTGTAATGTACTCAGCACAGTGCTGAGCTCTCAGGAAATACCCAGCTAGTAATGCATACAATTAGGACGAGTAATTATTATGTGGAGTCTCACTGACAAAATTGGATTCACTACTCAGAAAAAAAAAATCTGGAGCCATCAAAATGACTGATTCACAAAAGGGCAAATGTTTTCCAATCTGGTGCCTGTCTTGAACAATGAATATTTGGCTAAAATCCTCCACAGTAAAAGTTGAAACACACACACACACACACACACACACACACACACACACAACAATCCCAAAACATCAAAAAGCAGGCATGGTGGAACACATCTGTAATCCCAGAACTCTGGAGATTCAAAACCAGTTTGGGCTGCATAGTGAGACTATTGTCTGCCTCAAGGAAATAATGATAGTAAAAACCAACCAGACAACAAGGAAAACAAAAAGCTCACCAAATATTTGGAGAGTACTTAATGTGTTCAGATTCATTGCTCATTTTATATTCATGTAAGTCCCAAGAAACACGTTTTTCTCACTTCATAACTATATGGGAAAACTGAAGCTGGCAGAGTTTGGTCTCAAAGCCAGATCTTCTCCACTCTCCACTCCTCTACCATTCCTCTTCCCTCCACACTGCAGCTACTTGCTTTTCTTTCCTTGTCTTTTCTTTGTCCTAGTACTGAGGCTTGAACTCAGAGCCTCACACTTTTGCTTGGCTTTTTCACTCAAGGCTGGCTTTCTACCACTTGAGCCAGACCTCTATTTCCAATTTATTGAAGAGACTCACAGACTTGGCTGATTTTGAACCATGATCCTCAGATCTCCGCCTGGATCCTCAGACCTCGGCCTCCAGAGGAGCTAGGATTACAGGCGTGAGCCACCAGTGCCCTCCTTCAGGCTTGTTTTCATCCTTATTTTACAGATAAGGAGACTGAGGCAGAGACATTCAATTCACTCACTACACCAGTTTGGGATTAAAAAGATGGGTAGTGGTGAAATCTAGCCCGGGCTCTAGCTGGAGACTGAGCTTCCTGTGGCAAAACTCAGACACAACACCTTTTTCTGTGTATAAAGCTCTGGACAGCACCGGCTCAGGTCAGAGCCCTGAAACACAAGTTCACACTTGTTAACCGCTAGACTTCTGTCCCTTAGGACAGTTCTAGTAGAAAATACAAACTCAACAGCGCACAGATAAATATATAAATAATGTATATTATGCAATGGCCCGTGAGTTACTACAGAGAGTGGGTTTACAGGTGCAGGGTAGTGGTGCCTTTAATCTTCCGCTGATTTCCGGGGAGCAAGTCTCCCGGGGCAGCTGTCAGACCTGCCACAGTTGCAGATGTCTGCAAAGCTGCAAATACAGTCCTGCCTTGATAATCAGATACTCACGTAAGATCTCCCAAGAACTTCCAGGGACTTCTGGGAAATCACGCCCCCTTTCTCAGCTAGAACATTGTTTCTGTTTAATCGCCAAGTACTGAGATGTTCAATTCTCATCTCGGCAAGTTCTTCTTTGCTATCAGCAGAAATCAGTATGCCCAGCCACACACCTTTACCAACCAGCTGAAACCAGTTCACAAACAGAACTCACGTGTCCGAGAGCCTCCCAGGTCAGGAGAGGCAGGGGTCCGCCCACTTTTCACTGTTAGCAGGAAACCGGGTTTTCTGTGGCACGTGTGATTATTTGAGTCAGGAATAGTTTAGGGCTAATTTCAGAGATACTGGATGAATTGCATTCCTGATGATAGGATCCAGCCAACAGCGTACGGTTATTTGTAAATTATAATCACCTGGATCAGAATGGCCCTTCCCCTCTCCCCATCCAGTACAATTGTTAGTGTAAACCAGTAGCTGCTTACAACTATCCCCAGGTTCCCAGGTTCCTGTCTATCCTGGTGTTCTCCCTGTCATGCGAACCCAGTGGGTCTGTGTTTACCACCTGGATAAATAAGAATTCTTTTTTGAAACTCTTCATACTTAAAAATAATTCCAGATGAGGGGGAGCTTGGTTTTCAACAGAAGAGTGTGTACGATTCCCTCTCTGATCAACCAGCCAAAAAGCCAGATTGGAGGCCATGGCTCAAGTGGTAGAGTATCAGTTTTGGGCAAGTAAGCCACTTGAGAGAATGAGGCCCTGAATTCACACTATAGTATGAGTACACACACACATGCACACACACACACTTACAGCCACACCACATGCCTTAATCACAATCCAAGAAGTGGAGGAAGGAGGCTAATGGTGTGTTTTGAGACCCCATGTGAAAAATAAAGAAAAGCAAGAAGAGCTGCGAGTCTGTGCCTAACAAATATGAGGCCCTGAGTTCAAATCCTAGTACTGTCAGAAAAAAATTACAATCATTGTTCATTGTGAATATCTATCTATTAACTATAAAGCATGTCTCTATCAAGGATAGAAAAATAAAGGATATCTTTCAACATACTTGGGAAAGATCTTTTGTGTGCAATAAAAACAGTCCTAAGTGTTTAATAATTCGGAAAACTGACCTTTACAATAGAAGCAGCACCCTTCTCTCCTACAGTCTCTCCTTCCTCATTCCCTTTCCAAATGATTGTTTGATTTTTAAATGCCAGGAGTAATGAAATATCCTGGTTCTAATCCTTCCTTTATTTGGCTGGTGTCAGGTCCAGACTTGTCCAGGGAAAACAAATGTTTTCAGTGAAATCTCTCAGATCCTTCAGGTTGGGGAAGCTTGCAAGTCTAACACCATTCGATGCCTGTTCGTTTCAACAACCAGGCATGATGAATGGTGTATACCGCACCATTCACCTCCACAGCGC